TGAACGAGAGTAGATCAATAGAGTTGCCATGTAATAAGGAGTATAGAAATCAAGCATTCTCCATAGGTAATGAAGAAGTATGTGACACCGGCCACAAATTCGTGCACACAATGCGCAACAGAATCTGGCAATGAGTAGAAAGAGATCCATTAATGATTGCACGAGGACCGCCTTCCAACGGTGTGTTAAACACGTCAAATGGACAAGAGAGTTCGTCGAAAGGATGTCAACCGATAAATACGGGAATAATGGATGAACAACTCGAGTAATATGAACTAGACTGAAATGACATCGAGAGTGATCTTAATCGTCTTGCCCCTAAAAACACCTTAAAAGTCGATCCGCTAATGTCATGAATATTAACGTAAAACTTATAAACGAGTAGACTAGGAAGAGATGTTAACTCAACAAGTAAAGTTGCCCAACCCCTGGAAATGAAAGTGGCAGTGAGGTCGGGGAAAAGATTAGACATGATTACCTCTCGCTCCACTAAAACTTATCTCAAAGAAAACTGCGACCCAAAGGTATTTTGGGGCAATAGCGGTAATAAACCTAGACCGACTATACGAGGTGGAAGCACCAAATGCCTGTGCTGTAATCCTAGCTCTTTTAAGTGGCATCTGTGATAAATGAACAAGACAACCGATCAATAGATGCAACTAACGAAACTACATGCATCGTGGAGCTAACAAATAAATGATATGCATGTGATGCATGAATGTATGTGGAGGTGTTGTGGTGTTATAACGAAAGTGTGACGTGATGCAATGACGTCGTGACACGGTGCTGTGATGGAGGGCAACCCTGTGTGTAGGAAGTCATTACCAAAACCAAACCAAACTATGCCAAAGACTCAAACTAGTGACACAAATGTGTTCATGTGTGTGTACATGTATTGGTCATGCAACAACGTGCTATTAAAAGATAGAATCTTAATGACACAATCTATCGAGCACTAGGCATGCGTGAGCAATCCAACGCACTCAAACACCACTTCAACCAAAAAAAAAAAAAGCACCACATTCATCACAACCACAAGCCAATGTCTAAACATATCCCAAACTTCAACAAAACCAAAGCCTTAATCAACAAAAAATGCCCAAAAAATCTAAAGAACTCTACATGCGCGTTCAATCTGTTCAAAAAAAAAAAAAAAATCACCCAAATGATGCATTGTGATATGAAAATATATGGAAATCATCCAAACACGAAGTGTAAATGATTAAATTAAAGCAAGAATAGCATACACATCAAAAGCCCCAAAAAAATTCAAAAATTTAAAAATTAGGGTATTTCGAATTACCGTTCAAATTTGTTGAAAATTGATAGAAATTTGTGAAAATGCAACCAAATGATTGATGCTAGATGTCCAACGCGTGATCAATTTCACGAATTTGATATGGGTTTGAAAAATATGAAGAGAAACCGAGAAAGAAATTAAAAAAAAATCCGGAAAAATAACATTAAAACTCAAAAAGGCGGTTTGTCGATCGAGCGAGAGGAGAGCGATATAGCCTTTGCTATTATCGTTCAAGCGACGCTTAGCGATAAGTTGGCGAAATTGCGGCGCCGTTCTTCTCCTCTTTTTATACTCGAGCCCTAGAACCTATACGACTCAACTTATACAAATTGATACTTACTCCTTGACTTTTAAATCATATTGATTTCAATCCTTTTTGTTTACAAACTTGCCAATTACAATAAAACCTAATATATATGATTAGAATCAGGCATAGGACTTGTGACTGAAATATTCAAGAATTGATGAAATTGGGTAGTACTTATTAAGGTTTATCTTTCATTGTCAAGGTGTGAGAACAATTGAAATTTCCAAACTAGTTGCATAGAATATTCGTATTATCAAAGTCATGAATTTTGCAATTTGTAAAATAATGTATGAGTAACATTACAACAAATCAGATCTTCATTCCGATAAATTTGAGATCAAATATTTAAGTGTTTTTTTAGTTCATACTGTTCATTGTTNCGATAAATTTGAGATCAAATATTTAAGTGTTTTTTTGTAGTTCATACTGTTCAATGTTGGATCTAATAAAAATTAATACTTAAATATTAAGAGAGATTGTGTTAGTTTTAGTTTTAGTTTAGCGTTGATTGACACATTTTAATTGAAAATCTCACAAATATTTTCAATAAATAATTTTGCTCATGGATTCACAACCCTTTCTTTTTAACTTTTTAAATTATGTACGGATGACAAACATGTTTGGAAGTTCGGGGAAAAATAAAAAAAAAAATTGGATACCTATAAGAAATTGAGTCAACAAATATACATTTTACCTCTCTTTCCAAGTCTTAAGTCTTTCTTTTGAAGTAAACAACACTCCACAATGGTGGCATTATGTGAGTTCTTTTTACTTTCTATTATTCTCCTTTATTATCTTGTTTAANTCAACTAATATTCTTTTTACCTCTCTTTCCAAGTCTTAAGTCTTTCTTTTGAAGTAAACAACACTCTACAATAGTGGCAGTATGTGAGTTCTTTTTACTTTCTATTATCCTCCTTTATTATCTTGTTTAATTTATTGAGTGAGGGCAAAGTAGTAATTAGCTTCCTTATAGGTTTCTTCAGTTTTTTTTTTTTTGTTTATTTGAATAGGGACTTATGGTTTCAATATATACTTAGTTGTTTTTAATTAAATAAAATATATGGAGTTTTTTGAACAAATTATTGGTTGCTTTTGTGTTATTGTCAACAAGTTGTGATCATTTATTATTATTATTCTTTCTCTCTTGTGTCTACGTTATAGATGAATACCAATAATTACATTGCACACAAATATCTTTAACGAATAGCAAAAGTTGATTTTTTCAAAAGCTACATAGTTTACTCTATAACTTGAAATATCATGGAATACTCACTTAGTGTAACTAATAAGAGTAGCTCTCGAGTTTCACCATCTTCCATCGATTGCAGACAGCAAAAGTCGATTAGCCGAAAACTTCATAGACTTGCCATTTTCAAGTTCATAAACTGTACTATTTCTGGTGACAAATGCTGGATGGTTTGGCATTGGCAAACGCATCATTTCATTTTTTAAACATGGATATAACATCCTCAATTGTAGGGGGATTAGTTGTGCGATTTTCCAAGAATAAAAGACCAACACGAATGCATCTGTTCAATTGATGTGTACGACTACATGATCTTTTCAGCACTGGATCCATGAGCTCTAATGCAGCATCTTTAAAAAAAAAAGGGTTGAACCCCTAGAGCATCTGGATGAGGTAAATCGTGGGATGTGTCTCAACAGGCCAGGGTACAAGAGCTATCATACGGTGCCCACAAATAGTCCTATTCCAAACCTTGTTAGAGACAGGAATCGAATCCTCACATTGCGGCTGCCAGCTCAATTGAGACTACCTCACTCCTATCCTTTGCACCACTGAGCTATGCCCCGGGGTGTAATGCAGCATCTTTACTCCAAAGTTCCCTGGCCTACAATAATTTTACACTAAACATAAGTACACAGAAAAACTGAAATGAGATGAATCTGAAAAATGATCATAAGTTAACTTACATATTCTACTAGATTGAGAGGACCTTCTTCATTGTGGAAGCTATTGTTTTTTCAATCACTCACAATCTCAAGTACTAAAACTCCAAAACTATAGACATCCGATTTGATCGAATAAATACCCTGCATCGCATACTCAGGAGCCATATAACCATTGTGAAATCATCAAAGCATTAATTCACTGGAAATGAGACTGGAGCATATATAACATATATTATCAGCAGCCATTTTGAAAAGAAATATTATTTTGTTACTTACTATGTCCCAGCACACTTATTGGTATTTGCTTCTATCGCATTGTGCCTGAAGATTTTCGCCATTCCAAAATCAGAAATTTTAGGGTTCATTTTCTCATCAAGTAATATGTTACTGGCTTTCAAATCTTTGTGAACTATCCGTAATCGTGAGTATTTGTGAAGGTAGAGCAATCCTTTCAATGATGGTAAAACGTGTATCCCAGCTTAAGAGCTCCCTCTTAGCTAGACCTGTCATATACAATGTTTGCTTACTATCTTGTTTTACTTAGTTAGGCTTATGCCTCAAACCAACTAAGGTGTTTGCATTTTTCAAACTTTTCATTGTTAGCCTTGGCCTTTTGAGTTATTTCTTTATTACCTAAAATATTTTACAAATTTTTTATCTTCTTTTTTCACCTTACAAAAGGAAAATTGGAAACAGAATACACAATTGCAATCGGAGGATGATGACATAATGAAAAGAAATATATAATGAAGATAGGGGATCATACAAAAAGAAAATAATAATAATAATAATAATAATAATAATAATAATAATAATAATAATAATAATAATAATAATTAGCAGTCATTATTTTGTTACATGATTACTAAGTTTTGTTACATGACTACTAATTTGAGAATCTATTATTTTCTGCATTATTGATCTATTTTATGTGCGTTACAAGTTAGACTTTTCATTTTATTAATTAGATATATTATGAACATATTTTTGTATTTTTATATTCTTTTGAATTCTTTTATTGTTTTATCTTGAGGTCTGCACCTCAAAGTGCCTCGAAGCTTACGCATCAGCTCAAGGAGATAAAATGTCTCAGTACCCGATTGAGTCTTTTCAAACATTGCTATAAGATAAAACAATATTTTAACTAATAAGAGGTAAAAAAAATAATTAACCTAAACAAATAAAGATAAAATGTGAATTGTCCTTCCTTCCTTATCATACCAGAAAGTACAGATTTTGTTGACTCCAGTTATGTTTCTAAACTTGGGGTAATATGCTTAAGTAAACAAAATTAATTTCACTTAAGTAAACAAAATTAATTTCATAATTCTTCAAATGAAAATTAAGTAAACTGTAAGAAATAGATGGTACTCACAAAAGAGAGAGAAGTCCAAACTTTTGTTAGGCATGTAGTCATAGATTATCAACTTCTCATCTCCATGGATGCAGAATCCCCAAAAAAGAAAAAAAAAAGGGATGCTAAACCCCAAACAGAGGAATTGAAGTATGGATATGGATGCATATGGTGAAAAATTCTTGATTAAAGGATATGAACTTACTTTTGGTTGAAGACTCTGTTTTGTTTGAAGCCTCTGAAACAAGAACGAATTGTTTAGGTTCAGAACCATCGTAACTCTGTACAAAAGTCAAAATTTTCCCTTTCCAGTATGAACATCCATATTCATATCCACTCCTAAAGCCTACACATTCACAGTCCTTCCAGCAGTTCTCTCTGCAGTCACTCTCAGTAAGACTTGCATTATCATCATTATCATAAGCAGATTCTGCAATTGGCTCGCACCCATCTCCATTAGCAAAATGCCCTGATTTCAAAACAAATGTCTCATTATGATTCCTGCAACTGGGCTGCTCCCATAATTCACAGCCTGCGTAAACAGAAAATTTTTGTATGTTATAACCATAACAGAGACTTGTTTGTGCTATCATTGGCCTATCACTACTATATATATCCCCGTTATATCTCAGCCCCCATCCAGAAATAATTCTTTGATATTCAGTGTCAACCCGATAAGGGAATAGCTGAAGTAATCCTCCATACCACTTGATGTTGGAAAATTCCAACATAT